CACCACCACCATCATCACCACCACCACCATCATCACCACCATCACCATCACCATCACCATCACCACCATCATCACCACCACCATCATCATCATCATCACCACCACCACCACCACCACCACCATCATTATCACCACCACCATAATCATCACCACCACCACCACCACCACCATCATTATCACCATCATTATCACCACCATCATCACCACCACCACCATCATCATCACCACCATCATCACCATCATCATCACCATCATCATCATCACCACCATCATCGTCACCACCATCATCACCATCATCATCATCACCATCACCACCACCATCATCACCACCATCATCATCACCACCACCATCATCATAAAAAAGCACAAATGTTGTGATAAAGAATGAAATAAGTTCAAACTGTTAGTTAAAATGTCTCCTGCTCTGATCATCTGGCCACACCCCCAACAGTGATGTCATAGCACACTTAAAACAGCTGGAGCTGGACCAGTAACAAAGGTCATGATCATAGATTCTACTGGGGGATCAGAGACCCGGGTCCACATCAGAGACCCGGGTCTACTACAGTCCAGGTGAGAAACAACTGCTGTGACATCACTGGCTGTGGGCAGGTGGACAATGTCAAACCTGAACCATCAAGACCATCAGGACCATCAAGACCATCAGCCTGAGGAGTAACAGGTTCCTCAAAACCACAAAGACACAAACCTGAAGTCACTTCATGCTGAGTCAACATGTCCAGATCAGACAGGAGGGAAGATTCTGGAGGGAAAGTTGAAAAGAGAAGAATAAGTAAAAGAAGCAGAAGAAGAAGAAGAAGTAAAAGAAGAAGCAGAAGAAGAAGTAAAAGAAGCAGAAGAAGCAGAAGAAGAAGTAAAAGAAGCAGAAGAAGAAGTAAAAGAAGCAGAAGAAGAAGTAAAAGAAGCAGAAGAAGAAGAAGTAAAAGAAGCAGAAGAAGCAGAAGAAGAGATGAAGCAGCATGTGAGTAAGAAAGGAAACATTGAAATATTAATGAGAAGATTTGATTGATGATGTTTCACTGATTGAACCTGATCAGTTCACACTAACTTTTATTCTACTGTGTTTATTTATTACAGCAGGAACCAAGTCCTCCAAACAACTGTGGATGTATCTGTAATGTGGCAACAATACACACATGTATTTACAACTGTAGTAGTAGTAGAAATACTGCAGTAAATCAGTAGTTCACAGTATATTTATCTGTGTGTTTACCTTGAGGTTCCTCCTCAGTGAAGAAGTGTGTCGCCTCCAGAGCAGACTCCGCCTCCTCAGGACACAGAGCTGCAACAAACAAACAAACAAACAAACAACCAACCACACAAATAAATAAATAACCCACCAAATAAATGAACAAAGACTACAGACTACTGTTACCTGGTGGGAGGTGGAGCTTGTACAGCAGTTTGAGTTTCTCGGTCATGTCTCCGTGGTACATCCCACCTGCAGACACACAAACAAACTCTGATACCATCTAAATATTTAGATATTTAATATTTAAATCCTCTGAAAAGACTCAGGAGTGAAGCCTCCTGTTTGTGGACTCACTGAGTCCGGTGATGAACTCTTTGAAGTTGACCAGTCCGTCCTTGTTCTGGTCCAGGAGTCTGAAGAGGCGGGTCGACAGCGTGGAGGTGTGGCCTCCACAGACCCAGGGAGCCAGTGCGTTGAACAGCTGAGTGAACTGAGCTGGGTCGATGCGGTACTGCTCCAGGTAAGGCAGGCTGGGGTCATGGTGCTCAGCTGCAGAGCTGCTGGAGCCCCAATAACAGCTCGTCATGTGTTTGGACTGAAGATCAGAGATACAAAAAGAGGCTTTAAACTCAGATTACAGCACCTACACAAACATCCATACATCCAATTCAAATTACAATCATCATCTGACACCAGACAAAGATATTGTTTATATATCACCAACATAGTTAGGGCTGGCTCAGGTCTATAGTTAGGGCTGGCTCAGGTCTATAGTTAGGGCTGGCTCAGGTGGAGCATAAATCTTCTCCCAAGTCGTAGTTCTCTTGCAGACTGAGTCAGATTATCCTCCAGGATTTGTGGATATCTTTCTGCATTCATGTTCCACTCTATCTTTACAAGCCTTCCAGGGCCTGCTGCTGAGAAGCATCCCCAGAGCATGATGCTGCCACCACCATGCTTCACGGTGGAGATGGTGTGTTTGTGCTGATGTGCAGTGTTTGGTGTTCACCAAACATAGCGTCTAGTCTGATGGCCAAAAAGCTAAATTTTTGTCTCATCAGACCAAAGAACCTTCTTTTTTTATTTATTTTTATTTATTATACTATATTGATCCCGGAAGGGGAAATTTGTCTCTGCATTTGACCCATCCCTGTATATAGGGAGCAGTGGGCTGCCAATGACAGGCGCCCGGGGAGCCGTTAGGGTTTCAGTGTCTTGCTCAGGGACACTTCGACACGTGACACGTCCCAGTCAAGGATCGAACCATTGACTTTGCGGTTACCGTTGACCTTGGACCTCCCAGACAGGTGTTTTTATACTACAATCACTTGACACACATCAACTGCACTCAGGTCATCTCCATTTCACTACTTGTGACACTGCTGTCATCAACTAGCTGCACTTCTGTTGAATTAGGTCAGTCACTTTAAAGGGGGTGAATATTATGCAATCATTTACTTTACCTTATATATTTTTAATTAATTTACCTTAGTTTGTAAAAATCTGTTTTCACTGTGATATTAAAGAGGTTTTTTTTGCAAATTCTTGTCAAAAAAGCCAAATTAAACTGACCATGATTTCGTGTATAAAAGCAACAAAAGGGTGAAACATCCAAGGCGGGTGAATACTTTTTATAGGCATTGTATATATATATATATACAAGTTTAAAAGTAGTAAACACACAGAAACATTTAACACAGCAACTTTTTAGTTGCCACTTTTTAAAAACATCTGAACTGAAACCTTCTGACCTTAAAGAGACAGTAGAGCTCCTCCAGTTCCTCGATACTGAAGGCAGACTCCGTCATCATCGCTCTAACCTGCACACACACACACACACACACACACACACACACACACACACACACAC